GATTGTATTGAAGCTTTAAAAGCTTGATGACTTGAATATAGACACTAAAAGTTCAAAGATGTATTCTACGCTAATCGATTCTTAAAAAAATGAAAACCCTTTATTAAGTTAAATGCATTAAATGACTGAATTTATTGTTTTGGTGATTCATTATTGTATTTTAAAACTTCAACATCTACAAATATTTATGTTGACAATTGAATAAGTCAGAGGGGAATTAATTGGTTATAAATGAGAGAAATTCTTCGACAATTGGATATTTATGTTAGGAAACCGAACTAACAACCCATTTTATTATTCAGAAATTATTTTTTTATATTAAAATTTTGGTTAAAACATACAAATGCTCACTTAACCACACTGAAGCGATTTATTCAGTCACCAAAATTTTGGCCGAGCGGCGTCGGCGTCGCCCGCTTCTCCGAGCTCATGTGTATCGTCAAACGATGTAAACATGACCGATACTGTTGGATATTCAGGCAGTCCCGAGTCGAAGTCGTCAGCCATGGCTCTCGTAGGTTGCCCGAGGTGCCTTATGTACGTGATGCTTTCGGAGGATGACCCGAAATGCCCCAAATGCAAAAGCACTGTTCTGCTTGATTTCCTCCATGATACTGCAACAACCACCAATGTTAAGACGAGAAAGAGTTAGATTTGGAATCAAATAATGTCGGTCCATTAGGACATTTAGTGTTATAGGACTTTTCCTTTATCTCGCCTTTTATTCTCCTTTTTTTTTGGTTTTTTCCCCAAAGCGGACCATGAATGGTAACAGGATTTTAGGGTTCCAAATCATAGAACATAGGGTATTGACGTTTGTGGTAGTTGGTGTCTCCGTTTTGGTCTGGTTTAAGGTTGTTTTCCCTCTAGCAGATTAATATATGTGAACCGCTTTAGCTGCACCTACCCAAATTTTCTTATAAGAGATAGGTTTTAAATATGTTAAAAGTTTCTATATTATTCTCTCTTTTTTAATTAGTATAAATGATTATAAAATAATATATGTTCATAATTTTTTTTAATGATCAATAATGCTCACGCACTATGTAAACACCACTGACAAAGCCAGGCTATAGTGAGGGGTGTCATATGACAGCCCAAAATTTTTTGAAAAAAAATCTTTATAAATTTAATATAAACTATTTTTTAAAAGATAAAATTAATACATTTTTAAAAAAAATATTGATACCCTTATACATAATTGGACAGTCATTGTTTATTTTCATCTACTTAAAAAATTTCTTCTAAAATTTCTAATTTTGACACTCAAAATATTTGTTTTCTAAATTTGACACTTCAAAATCATTTTTCTAATTCTGCACCTATCTACAAACGTAATTATATGAATTTAAAACCTTAACAGATAACACTATTCTCTTTAACCACTAAATCCACTTAATAGGTTTAAGTTCTATGTTATTCTAAAATTTAGGGGCTGTTTGTTTGGCTCTGAATGGAACCATTCAGCGTTGAATGTTGAACCGTTCAGCGTTGAATGTTGAACCGTTCAGCATTCAGCGCGTTTGTTTCTTACCTTTGCATGATTCAGTGCTGACTGATTCAGCAAAACAAAACTGAATGATTCAGCAAAACAAAACTGAATGATTCAGCAAAACAATACTGAATGATTCAGCACAGAAGTACATTCTGAATGATTCAGAGCCATTATCAAACAGCATGTCACATTCAGAGCTAATTCATACAGAGCCTCTGAATCATTCAGCATTTGAATCATTCAGCGCTTAATCATTCTGAAATAAACAAACAACCCCTTAATCTATATACTATATTTTTATGCAATTACGTTATTATATTGTTCTTTTTATCTGAAAATATTGGCCATTCTCGTAATTTTCAGTCAACTTCATTATAAAATGCTAGTCGTATAAGTTTACGCTCTTTATCAATTTGACCCTTGATGGGTTCTTCATACTAAATTTTAAAATAGTATATAAATAACTGGTATGTTTAAACCTAAATATATATTATTAGGTAAATTATAATGTTTTTATCGGTTCAAGTATAGGATATTATATCTTTTATATAATTTTTTTCATTGTTCTATATCTTTTGGCAATAGCGGAACTTGACGAAAAAGTTTGGGGGTAACTTAAAACTTTAAAATTTTAAAGGTTTAAATTAAAAATTTTAAAAATTGTGAAGGGTTTAGTTTATATTTTATTCTAAAAAATTAGGGTTTAACTAAAACTTTTGAAAATTTGAGAGGCTTAATGAGAATTTTAAATATTATGGGGGGAGTTTAATTAAGAACATTAAAAATTTTAAAGTTTAATTTGAATTTCTAAAAATTTTGAAGAGAGACCAAATTGAATTTTTAAAAAAATTTAAGAATCTAAATTATAATTTTTAAAATTTTGGGAGAGCCATGCCCCCACTAATCCTTCTTATGTTTCGTCCCTGTCTTTTGGCGTCTGATTAGTTATGTTTCTATAATGTGACCAATACTAATTCAATTTGATTTATAATCCATTATCTGACATTATATTTATTTGATCTATCAATTTATCAGTAATTATCATAAATATATGTCTGGCTCTAATATTAAACATTACCTTTTAACTTTTATGACAGTAGAGAAAAAATACTTATTCTTCCTCTTTCTTATTAAAAAATGGAGAAAATTGTTTATTATCTTTAATCGATTATCAAATGTAAATTTATTATCTAAATTAAAATAAATAAACCATCAACGTAAATTTATTATCTAAATTAAAATAAATAAACCATCAACCATTAACACAATCCATTTGTTCTCATCACTAAATATTAACACACGTAAATTTATATATGCATTGTATTTTATCTATATTTTTAATTTTCTGATTGCCGGAGGTCTTCCACGGAAGCTACTCTCAACCTGGCGTTGGGGGCAGCCTACTATCCTACCTCCCGCTTACCCTCATTGTATATGGGAATTGGGTTTTGTTGTTGTTGTTGTATATGAATTTAAAGAAGGCTTAATATTAAAATATGTGTCCAAATTATATCTCTTTTCCCAAATAGGTGCCTAAACTATTTTTTGACTCATCCCGATGCTTAATGTTACAAACGTTGCCCATTTTGGTGTTTGAGTCTTCAACGGTGTTAATTCCAAAACTTTAAAAACCTTCATTTTAACCCCTAAACCCACGTTGATCGCCGCCCTTTGCCATAGACAAAGCTCCACCCGACCTCCCTTTCCCCTCGAATGACCAAAACCCTCATGAAATCGTGACAGATCGACGACCGATTTACAACGAATCAATGTTTAATCCCCGCAAACCCTATGATGAAAATCACGATCTCAAACAATTCTGACGTCTAATCTACATAAACTACGACGGGGTATAGTAGGAGGATGGCATAGACTATGTCGATGGTGGTGGTTGTGGCCGAAGAGGGTGGCATCGGTGGATTAAGGTTAGGATTTGAGATTTTGGGAATGTTTTATAATATATGAAAAGTTAGTGTTTTTTTTATAAATATCATAATATTTTTTTAAAATAAATTTAAAATCATCAGATTGTAATACATGTCACTTAACAGAAAAATTAACGCCGTTGACAGCCCAGACACCTAAATGAATAACATTTGTACCGTTAGGTACCTCGATAAATCAAAAAATAGTTTAGGCACCTATTTTAGAAAAAACGATACATTTTGTACACTTATTTTGGTGTTAAGCCTTTAAAGAACGGAAAATCATAGAAACTTTAACCGGAATATGTTGCTCATTTTCTTTTTGAGTCGGATCAATTAGATTTAATTTGGGTTATTGGGCTGGTTACTGGGTTAATTAATGCAACGAGTCTAATTTTAATGTAATTGGATTCTGTTGTCTGGAAAAGGGTTAGATGATTAAGGGTTCTGAGATGGATTGTAATTAAATTTGGACTAAACGGATTTAGAATAAATTAATAGATATTAGATTTTGTAATAAATTTAAAAATAATAATTAGACTTTTTATTATTTTATACTTGATGTAGTTATAGTATGGCTTTATTTACGAGTGGATGAAAATTAAATTTTATAAGATATATTTAAATTTGTATCATCTTAAAATTTACTGTACAATCTTAATGATACAATAAATTATTATTTTTCATAAAATTTGAATTTGAATAATAATATCTGAAGAATGTATATATATTATCAATATATTAATTTTTTTAAAAATATTATCTTATAATATTTTTGACAATATATATTATCTTATAATATAATAAATGTAATGAAATCTGAATTATTAAAAAATGTATAGAATATTATTATAAAATGTAAAACATAAATTTAATTGTTAAATGATTAAAAATAGATTATTAAGATCAACAATGGAAAATAAGAAGATATTTGTTGAGAAAAAACAAATAAATAATCTCAGTAATCTATTTTTATTCAATCAACTATCTTAAATATATATAAAACTAAAATAGTTTTACTTGTATAAATGAATCATGAACCACTAATATATATATATATAGTTTCTAAATTTATTTTATTTTTCTATCATATTAATAAAGGGTAAAGTACACAAATGGTCCCTCAATTATATATTACTTTATTAAATCATTTAACTATTAAAAATTACAAAATGGTCACCCGACGATTTATTATTTCCCAAACTCGTCCTTTTTCATTAAAAAATTGGTGATTGTCTAAACTGAACGTTGACATGATGACTAAGATATAATAGTCTTTTAGATTCTAGGATTATATTTTATCATATCACATTCAATATGTTAGCGTTCAACTCAGAATATTATTAATTTTTTAAAGGAAAATGACGAGTTTAGAATATAATGATTAGTCGAGTAACCATTTTATTACTTTTAATACTAGAGGGACTCAACAAAACAATACTCTATAGTTAGAAGATCATTTTATAACTTTTAATAGTTGAGAAATTTAATAAATAAATACACTATAGTTGGGGGACCATTTGTGTAATTTACACTAAGAAAAAATCTTCCCCGTACAATAGTTTTACTTTTCATCGACTTTCTTTCTCTAGATTCTCCACTCTTGACTTCTATATCTTCCGCTTTTCCTACCTACCCGATCAGATCTGTAAAAACCAGTGAAAAAAAAACCTCCAGTGAATCACCCATGACGCCTGGCTCAGGAGGATCGAGTGTAGTGGGTTAGCCCCTTTGCTCCCCTTTAACCCTTCTTCTCTTTTTAGTTTTCTTCCCCCTTTGTTTCTCGACTGGATCTTGCCTTTCTGTTGATCTTCCTTAGATTCCATTATTGGGTTTTGTTTTTCTTTATTTTTTTTATTGTTTTATCGTTTCTTGCAAGTATAATCAGTTATTATTCATGGGTCTGGACAAGTTATTTTCATGTTGTTTTATAGGTTTATCATTTCGTTTCAAGTTCTGGGTGGCTTTTAATTTTTAAATTTGCTTTTGAATTGATTTCATTGCTGTTATATTCGGTTTAAAGTTTTAATTTTTTTTGCTTATCTTGGGTATCTATCGAACAATTTAAAGCATCTTTAGTTTCATTACGAATGTTATGTTAGTTTATTAATTGTGATTTTTCATGAAAAATCTCATGCTATGTGAAAATCTAATATGAATATTTGATCGTTTATGTTCTAATAGTGGTTGAATATGTTTTGCAAGAAAAATCTTGAATCGAAGAACATAGAAATGTGCATTTTGTGTATTGTGACTTTTTCCCCTCTTAAAACTACAGTAGATGGGCGTTGATGATTAAATGTTCTTTAGCTGTATGATGATGTTGCTGCTTTACAGTTGGCGTTGTAATCTGCACCTTATTTGAACAGATAATGTCTATAAGTCGAGTTATGTAGGTTGAAAAGCAATAACTATGCTTTTTTTTTTTTTGGCTTATTAGCATGGGACTATAAATATGTTTATCATCAAGTGTTATTACCAATAAATCAATCTCTAGGGATTGTCCTCGTTGTTTTAGAATAAGTACAGTTTGAATAAAATGAAAATGATACAAGCTTGTTAGGACTTATTCTGTGATTAGCAGAATGATCATGCCCTTTATTGAGTTTTATACGCTCATTTTACAGTGCCTCGGAACTTCAGATTGCTGGAGGAGCTTGAACGTGGAGAAAAAGGTATTGGAGATGGTACTGTGAGCTATGGAATGGATGATGGAGATGATATTTACATGCGCTCTTGGACTGGCACCATTATTGGTCCTCATAATGTAATTGCATATTTTTAAGTGAACCTTCATATTTTAATGTCTTTTTCCTTCAGATGAAACTTAGTCTCTACATGAACAATCATAGACGAAGCACTGGGTATTAAACACAGCTTTTCATAGAAACAGAGAACTTAAAGCTTGTTTTGGTTGGATTTTGGAGTAAACATTGGTTTTTTGCTGGGGTTTTTTGGAAGCTATCATTTTGTACATGCTTTTCTCTCTCTCCTTGTGGTGATTCTTTTTTCCTGTTTTCAGACCGTACACGAGGGTCGAATTTATCAGCTGAAGCTGTTTTGTGATAAAGATTATCCCGAGAAGCCACCAAGTGTCCGTTTTCATTCAAGGATCAACATGACTTGTGTTAACCATGAAACCGGAGTGGTATATACTAGTAATTTTACATCTTTCGTCATGCAATGATCGGTGCATTTATTTCATATCCGTCAGTTAATTGTTGCTTTTCGTTGGTTGGTTAATTTCTTAAATCACCTGTATATTCATACGGTTAAATAGTATTATGAGAGAAAACATGCGACTTAGAATTTGATGGTATGGAATGGCAACAGGTGGAACCAAAGAAGTTTGGACTTGTTGCAAATTGGCAGAGGGAGTATACAATGGAGGATATATTGACACAACTGAAGAAGGAGATGGCTTCCCCGCATAACCGGAAGGGTGCCCAACCACCCGAGGGTACCTACTTCTAGCTCTCGAGATCGTATTAGATATTATCCTGGATCGAATTGCATCTTTGGCATCATCTTTTTAATCCTCTTTGTCAAAACTCTGCTGAACGGCTTCCATTTGATTGATAGGATCCTAATGAATCAGTGTGTCAAATATTTAAGAAAAACACTTGATTTATTTTTAATTTCTAGTGCCGAAGATCGTCTTTTACCGATAGTAGAATCACCATCGATATCTATTATTAATTTTATAAGTTCATCTTTTTAACATAAAATGATATCTAATTGTATAAGTTCGTTTTTTTAACATAAATTGTGGCAATAGTTCATCATCTGCCGCGGGGGGGGGTCAATTTTGTTTATTTTCTTCCTTAACAACTAAAAGAAGCTTTTGAACAAAAACTTAATCTTCATGATTTCTGCGTTTCTACGTCGTCTTCCTTGCGACTGTTGTATTACCAGCTGTGCACAGTCATTTCCATTATTGTTAAATTTAATTATTACTTTTAAAATTTACATTTATTTATCCATTTTATTAAAAAATTGATACTAAAATGTCAGCATATAAATATTTTTAAAAATCGAAAAAATTAACAAAACATATAACTGTCAAACAAAAATGCTATTTTAAAGATTAAAAATATATATTAATTATGATATTTTAACTAAACCCCAATGAGAAAATATTGATATTGTTTTTAAAATATATATTAATTATGATATTTTAAAGATTAAAAAGAGTACTTTGGTAGGGCTTTTAGAACACGGTTTCCATGCTTTGGTGGATTGTGGGGCGGGCGGCTGGCAAAAGTTGTTTGCGCCGATATTGAGTGAAAATCAAGGCTCTAATTTAACTTTTAAAACGTGTTAAATCAATTTTCTAGTTGTTTCCTCCCATTTCTTTTAAAATTTCTATTTCAAATTCAACTACCAAAAATTGAGAAGTTATACGGTGTGTTACTCTATATAATTAAAAAAAGATGTTGTCGGTTTTATTATTATTTAAATAATAAAATTGATAAAAATTATTTAAAATATTATTATTTCTACTTAAAATATCAATATTTTTAATATTTTCGGTAAAGTGCCAAACAATAACAAAACCTGTAGAAAAATAAAAAAATCGACAGAAATAATAATGTTTTCGCTACTTTTTTTTGCTGATTTTGTTATTTAAATAATAACAAAATCGATAATATCTTTTTTTAACCGTATATTAAGACTGTCGCACGTGATCATTTGCTATACAAAATTAATTTGGTATTCCGCCACTTACACTTCCCATTTTAAAATTTTAATTAATTGATTTATCTATTCTAATTATTATGATAGAGATTTCTTTTCTATAAACAATTTTATTTATTTATTTATTTAAATAATAACTAACGAATATATCGTAAATTAAAATAGTAAATGAATTGATATGTCTCAAATAATAATCTGTTAATTAAGTAATTAATTATTTAATAATCATTAATTAAAATAAAAGAAATTAAATATGAGTAAACCTTCTCTCTACCGTCGTCTACAAATACCTTTCCCCTGGCGTCAATTTTCTTTCAATCTTCCCCCCTCCCCAAATTGAAACCCTAAATCCTAAACACACTTTAAACCAAAACTTATATCCAGGAAAAATACAAGGGAGATTTCGTTGAGAATGTCAGATGTACCACCTCTAAGAAAGTCGGTCGTGATCCGATCCGTTTGGTCTCACAATGTGGAATACGAATTCGGTTTAATCAGATCCATCGTCGACGTCTTTCCGATCATCTCAATGGACACGGAGTTCCCCGGCGTTGTTATCAGGCCAAATTCATCCGGCGGAGGCGCCCACTACGCACGGCCGGCCGACGTCACGGAGCATTATAACAGTCTCAAAGCGAACGTCGATATGCTGAAGATGATCCAACTCGGCTTAACTCTCTCAGACGGTAAAGGAAATTTACCAGATCTCGGCACGGAACACTATTTTATCTGGGAATTCAATTTCAGAGAGTTCGATGTCGCGAACGATGCCCACGCTCACGATTCCGTCGAGCTTCTCCGTCGCCAAGGCATAGATTTTGAAAAAAACCGTGAATTCGGGATCGACTCGGTCCGGTTCGCGGAACTGATGATGTCATCGGGACTCGTTTTGAATGAAGAAGTTACGTGGGTGACTTTCCACTGCGCATACGATTTCGGATACCTTGTGAAGTGCTTGACAGGCCGGTTGTTACCGTTCAAACTCACCCATTTCTTGAGCCTCGTGCGCATGTTCTTCGGGGAAAGGGTCTACGATGTCAAACACTTGATGAGGTTCTGCGCCGGCTTGTACGGGGGGCTGGACCGGGCGTCTAACGCTCTGTCGGTGAACAGGGCCATTGGAAAGAGCCATCAGGCCGGTTCCGATAGCTTGCTGACATTGGACGCGTGGTTGGAGGTCAAAAGAAGGTATTTTGGGGAAGGGGATGTTGAGAATTATGCTAATGTTCTTTATGGTTTAGAAGTTGAATCTTCATGAAATTTTAATGCATTCTCTGTTCATAAGTACTCGTGTTTGTGAGAAATCTCGTGGCATTTGTTTTTGGTTAGATTTTTGTACACAGTTTCTGGGTTGTTGACCAATCATCAATATTAGTAATAGTTTCAGTTCTATTCTTTCATTTCCTCATTCCCCGTATTACGAATTTGTACTTCTTCTGCTGAAATCAATTCTTGATCTTTGATTTACATTAAACTAAGCTTTTGAGCTTAACGTGTACCTAATAAGTTTTAACATCTAATTATACTAAAGATCTTTGGTGTTATTTGAGTACAAATCAAAGATAATGATCTATTTGATTACCTTCAGTGCTCTTTTTTAATACTTTAGCCGTGTCGTATATATTTGGGTTAGATGTTTACTTTAATGGCGAGTAGAAAGCATGTTGTTGCACTCATAGGTAGAGATGATAAAGAACACCAAGATAAAATCATAAACAATGGCAACCGGCTCTAATCTAACCAGCTATCGATTTAATAACAATTCATATCATTTACGTATTGAGTCAATTACAGGTCGGATAATACCAGTTATTTACCAAGTTAATCTCTGATTCGGATTTTTTTCAGTCGGATACAAGGTTCGGTTATCATATTATCGGTAAATTCGGGTTTAGGTCATTCTTAGATCGGGTGCAAGTCGGGTTCAGATTTATAATTTTCATATTCAACTTGGGTTCCGGTAAACACCAATTCAGACTCGAGTTGGTTTTGGATTACCACGGCTCAGGTCACAAATAAATTTGACTCGAGTCAGATTCAATCAGTTTTACGACTTGTAAGCTTTTTACATTCTCAATTTGGGAATCTCAATCCATTTCTCTAATTATACTCATTTGGACCGCGTATACTTGACTACGATCATTAAAGCCAAATAGTAAATTGAAGCAGCAAAGCAAATAATTTTATGACAATTTTGAATATAAATTTTGGTGGAATTATAAGTCTAGTACCACGACTGAATGTACAACCTTTGGAAAATGAGTCTTAGGTTTGATTCTCTCTAAATGCATAAATTTTATTGGGACCAATAAAATATTGACATCATCTAATTGATTTTAATTAAATTAATAAAAATAATTGATTTTTTAAAATTACATTAATATCATCATTAAGTATTTGAGCACCGATAATCAAAATTAAAAAACAATTGATGACTAATAACAAAGTTTAACCTTTATTTTGTATTCGAACCTTTATTGTATGGGTGGGCCAATAGTGCACCCCTCGTTAGTAACAGCTTTCCTATCTCTTCCACTCGCTCATGTCCTCGTCGGTTTCTCCATAATTTTCTGAAATGAGAGGACCCTTTCTCAAAAGCAATGCATTAAAACACCCCTAATGTTTGACATTAGTGTAATTTTGTCCCTTATCCTTTTTTTGAAATATTTTAACTCTTAACATTTTATTTTGAGTAAAAAAATTCTTTCATAAATACTGTTAGTCAATAAACGATCAACACTTGAAATTGACACATGGAAAAAATGTTGACGTGACATATCGACATTATCATGCCACATTAGCAAACATTCATACACATGATGACATCATTTTACCACCTCAGCAACATGCCATATCATCACAACACATCAGCATTTTTAGATTTAAATTATTTTATATATTTTTAATTACATTAATTAAAATCAACCAAATGATGACATGTGTCATATGAGTAGTTTAAAAATATGAAGTAAGAAAATCAAAACTCGCAATTGCTATGATTTGAACCCAGATCTTGGGGGTAAGGTTAAACACCTTACCACTATAAAAACATGCAATGATAATGTGGTCATACAAAAATCTTTACTTATTTTATAGAGTTGATATACTATTTAATTTAGAGATTGATATATTCTTTTAAAGTAATATTATAATTTATAACATTTTATAATTAATTAAAAGTTAAAAATGACGTATCTATTCTCTTGTAAAAAATCAGAAAACAAATGAACTTAAAAATCAGAACTATTTACATAAAAATTAATTTTTAATTTCATAAAAATAAATTTTTAATTAGATTAATGTTTTAACAATCTTATTAAAAATTATTTTTTTCACAATTAATATTTCATAATATTTTATGATTATTATATTTTATTAAAATAAAATCATTATAAATTATATTAATAATTTATTAAAATAAGAATCATATATTATTAATTACACTAATAATTTATTAAAATAAAAATATTATTAAAAATTAAAAATTAAAAATTAAAAATTAAAAATTAAAAATTAAAAATTAAAAATTAAAAATTAAAAATTAAAAATTAAAAATTAAAAATTAAAAATTAAAAATTAAAAATTAAAAATTAAAAATTAAAAATTAAAAATTAAAAATTAAAATTAAAAATTAAAAATTAAAAATTAAAAATTAAAAATTAAAAATTAAAAATTAAAAATTAAAAATTAAAAATTAAAAATTAAAAATTAAAAATTAAAAATTAAAATATGAATATTATATTATATTTTAAGGAGTATATATTAGATATTCAAATAATTCAATAATATTATTTTTATGAAATTAGTAAATACTATTAATTTTATTAATAATTTATTATATATTATTAAAATTAAATTATAAAATTATATATTTTAATAATATAATATTATATTATTAAAATTACCAATAGATATAATTTAATAATTTAATATTTTATTA